AAAATAAGATTTGTTGCAGCTTTCTTATTACTTTGAGAAAAATAGTGTAAACTACCTATGTCTTCTGAAGACTACTGCTGACCTGAAAGACAGTGGATGGTTCTGGTAAGATACCCCTACTTACCCTTGAGTTCAAAGAAAGGCCAAAGCATGCTCGAACATTCTAAATATACTTTCAGTAAATGTACACTGGGCACGTACAGTCTTCAAATCAGTCAGAAAAATAAGACTTGTAAAAAATTCATGGAGGTTATGTTTCCTAGCTTTGAGCATTTACTAAAAGTACATGAGTGCCCTGCAGAAATTTTAAAAGCTCTGTTTTTTTTTATTCAGGACAATCTTTTAAAAAGCAATCTAAGGCTGAACACCCTGTGGCAGGGGAGAATATGGGCCCCAGTGGGAAGTCACTGCAATTGCTTTGTTAGATAGAAATGATGCACCTGCTAATGTTCCGACCAAGCATCTGTGTTTATATCTATAGCTTAAGTTATTATAGCAGTTACTATTTAGATGTTCTTGCTGCTTGCTCTGTGTGTTTTTATAGTGGATGGAATCCCACTGAAACTGCTCAACAACCCATGGAAAACAGATGATGCAGAGACCTGAAAGTTCAGTGCCTTGCCACAACAGGAGGAAGATCATCCCACACCTACCACCCCTTCCAAGGCTCAGGGACTTTTGTGGAAGAAGTTGGTAGAAAGAATGTAAGAGTCTGAGGAAAGGGTGGAGTGTTAACTGGAAATATCCTCTGACCACTATGCAAGCAAACTATAGTTACACCTCCTTTCCACACTCATCAAGGTGTCAAAGGGGGAGTCAGTTACCCCTCCCACCCAATCAGTCACTTTAGTTGTATGTGGGGGGAGGGGCAAAGGATATATAAGCTGATAACACCAAGAGACACCTCTCTCACCATTTTATGCAGCTGTTGGGAGGTCACAGGATCTGTATTTGAGTGTGGACTTAAATACACACTCATTACAGCACAGCCATAAATGTGGGGCACCCACTCTTCTGTAAATAACCCCCTACCTACCCTATGCTGTTAAAAATATAATAATAAATAAAATATTTTTAAAAAGTAATCTAAGGCTGATCAGATAATCAGGATAATTTACACCCAAGGGTTGTCTGGTTTTAGTGTTTTTAGTTTGCATTTGGCTTTACTATCACATAGATGCTAAACCACAGGACTAGCTGATGTGACTGAGAAGAAGTCATTAGAAGCAATGGTATACAAATGAGGCACTAGTGCAGTAGACAGGGAGATGATGGCACAGCCAACTATCCAAAGGCAGGAAATGCAGTAATTCCAATAAAGAAAAAGAATGGAAAAAGTGAGTCCTTACCAGACACACTGTAACACAAGTATGCTGAAGTCAACAGACCCTAAGCTAAGCAATCTGTTATATATATGTGAGGAAAGATTCAATTTCATCAAAGAGTATAATCTACCAATTTTTTAAAAATCTTGTCATGAAAGGGATTACCATGAGTAATATGCTAACTGCTAACACTGAAACGAATTATGAATCTACTGAAAAGGATTGGGAAAAAGAGTAAAGATGAACTGAAAGAAGATGTCATGGTGATTCTCAAGGGAGGAAAAAAATTTATAGGGGGCAAAACACCAGACAGACTATGTAACACACAGAACCCAGAACATGCTGATTTTAGAAGAGGAACATAGTGCTAGAAGCACTTGCCACAAAGGTCTGGAAGAATGCAGAGTTAGGGGCATAGGAAGAGCAAGGAGGGAAGGTAAGCAGACCTAGGTTAGATAAAATTGGGAAAAAGCTGTCCCTCCTGTTAACCGGTGCTCTGAGTCTTACTGCAGAGGTTAGTAGAAGTTAGAGGTATCTTCTATTCTTTGAAACAGTAATGGCGAATTTGATGACAAGACCATTCCTAAAGCAATGAATCATTAATGTGTTTATAACTATGAGGCCAGAACTAAGCAAAGGACTACTAAGTTTTGGTGGTTTGCATGAAAATATTTCTTATTGAGGAAAATAATTATTTGAGTAATTTGAGAATAATGCCATGTTCAAAAGTAAAAGTGTAATGTAATGTCTGTAAGTCTTAGGTGTCTTGTCCATTCCTTTTGTAGTTAGGGAAAGATTTTTGCTTTATTTCATTAAACTAATAATAACATAAATTAACTACTAGTATACTATGTTTATGAGTGTGTTGCCTGCATGTAGGTAAGTGCACCCGTGTCACGCAATGTCTGCGGAGGACAGAAGAGGCTCTTGGATCCCCTGGAACTGGAGTTACAGGCAGCTGTTAGCTGCCATGTGGGTGCTGGGATTTGAACCAGGGTCTTCTGCAAGAACAGTCAGTGTTCTTAACTGCTGAGTCATCTCTCCAGCCCCCCAAATTTTCTATATGGAGTCAAAGAATTGAAATCTCTGGGAGGATAAAAAAGAGAAGCAATTATGTAGGTGCAATTAAGTTTTTGAGACTAAGGAGGGAAGAAGGGAGGCAGTGAACTATGCAACATGCCCATGAGAATTCTGGCAAACAGGCTTGTAGAAGAGGGCAGGGAGCAAATAACAGAAGGCACACAGCAGCAAAAACTTAGCAGTCTTTCAGGCTTCTCTTAAAAGATGTTTCAACTTAAACTTATGCACATTTCCATTTGATTCTAATGTTAAAGATAAATTGAAGAATGACTTACCTTACTCCAAGCATAGTTCCAGGTGACATAACTGTTGCCTCCCAGAAGATCCTTGAGCCAGGTAACTGGGCTTTGATAAATCTGACCACTTTCTACCTTGAGTTTACCACTTAATAAAATACTGGCTTTGTGGGTGGTCTCCTGAAGTGAAAAATAAAATTAAGATTAAAAATTGCTGAAATGTGTGAACTTTTATTTTTGTCTTTGATGAAATAAGACAGACCAGATTTACTCTAACATCTGACACACTAAAAAAACAAAAAACAAAAAACAAAACAAACAGTAAAATACACAAAACCATGGTTTGCAAGATGCCAAACATCAGGCAAAACAAAGGACTGTGAGCCCTGTGATATCAGAATGCAATGTGATGAACCCTGCAGCCTAATCAGCTACTGCCCTCGAGTTCAGGTCAGAGTGCAGGGCAGGGAATCCAGGCAAAGCCTGTGGACTCCCTGAGTTGAGGAGGAAGAGCTAAGGGTGTAGAGACAAAGATCAGCAGGACAATGTACTGAAGAAGAGAGGAATAAAATGAAATCTTAGACTCTCAGAGGGTCTTCCTTAAGTATTCAGCCAAGTGGTGATCAATATTTGTGTGAGAGGAAATTATCGATAGGCTAAGAATGGAAAAAACTACCATGTGAATGGATTACATATAATGATACCTAGCAATTTCATTGGACAGACAGAAGTGCTTTTCTTTATGGCAAAACTAGAAAAAAAACTCAAAGACTGATGGGTCATAGGTAGAGTGCATCATGGAGTCTTATAGGAGAAAAACATTAGCCCTAGGCTTGACCCTGCCTTAACAATTTTGAAAAGACTCAAAAGGCCAAACAGTTTCTAAGTATCATAACTACTTCATGAAACAAATTCCCTCAAATAATTATAAGAAAGCAAAGATACCCAACATTCATGAGGCCGGTTTCAGTGTGAGATTTGATAAAAATTAGCAAGTCTCTCTGCTTCCCTGGGCCTGCAGGATACACAGGCCTCTCTCTGACCCACAGGCTTCTCTCTATGGGACAAACCAGGCTCCTCAGTGCAGTCCCCAGGGACCCTTGGGGCTGCCTCCCGCCCCCATCTTCCTTTGCATCTCTGGGAGGCAGGGCCACCAGCTGCCCTAGACCAGCATCTTTCCTGGGCCCAGCTCCAAGGCCATTCCAACCCCCAAATTCCTGAGGCCAATATCTACCTTGGAGGGATCCAGACCTTAGGAGAAAGCATGAGAGCATCTGATCCTCATCTGACTTGGGCCTCTCTGGGAACTCCTGAAGACAAAAGCAATCTGGCCACTCCAATATAAATCAAAAGAGAGAACGGGAAGCTTAGAGGAAGCAGCCTTTCATGCCCAAAGAGTAAACCACAAAGACACATAAAGTTCACAAAAGGCCTCTCTGAACTCCTGAAGACAAAAGCAATCTGGCCACTCCAATATAAATCAAAAGAGAGAACGGGAAGCTTAGAGGAAGCAGCCTTTTTCGCCCAAAGAGTAAACCACAAAGACACATAAAGTTCACAAAAAGAAGCAGACCTAAACTTGAAGGCTTGAGACTCACACAAGAATCAGAAACTACAAAAGAAATTCACATGTCAAAATCACAGAGAAAAAATAATAACGTGAAAAACCAAAATAACATATCCCCACAAAATACAATAGTCCTCTAGAGGAGTACAATGAGAATGCCCTAGAGATAATGCAGGACATGCAACTCAAAAGAACAATTATAAACATGGTAAAAGAATTCAGTGAATTTAAAGAACACACACACAAAGTAATCAAAGAACTGAGGGAAGCTAGGGATAAACTTCTGAATGAATTCAGAAAAGAGAAATATTGGAGAATACTTAGGCTGAAATGAAGAATGAAGTGAAACACTCAGAACACCAATTAGAAATGACAGGAGAAAGCCTCACCAATAGGATGAATGAAATGGACAACAGAATATCAAGACTAGAAGATAAAGTAGACGAACTAGACCACTCAAGCAAAGATTATGAAAAATTTAAGAAAACACAAGACTGGAATATGCATGAATTGTGTGACACCATAAAAAGACCAAACTTATGAATCATAGGCATACAGGAAGGAGAAG